TAGGGGACATCCTATAGGGTGCTATAGATATAGGTGGGGTACCTGGTACTAAGTCTATGCTAAACTCAATCTCTCTCTCAGGTGGTAAACTAGACACATCCTTAGGAAATACTTCTGGAAATTCTCTCACTAAGGGAATCTCATCTAGCTTACTATCAGTCTCAAGTGTTAAAGAAGCTAAGATCATGTACACTTTTTCATTGTCTTTTAAACAAGTTTTAATGTCAGCAGCACTAAGAAATTCCGTACTCTTACATTCACCAAAGGAAATAGATTTCTCAAAGCAGTTTAAAAGGACATGGTGAGAAGATAACCAATCCATACCAAGAATTACATCTAATTGACTAAGAGGCAAACAAATTAAGTCAACTAGAAACTGCTTATCAGAAACTGTCAAAGGACATTTCAAACACACTAAGGATGTAGTCACAGGACCATTAGTAGGGGTTTCAACAACTAAATCAAAATCTAACAAAGACACAGACAAATTCAATTTTTGGACACAAGAGACAGAAATAAAGGAATGAGTTGCACCAGAATCAAATAGTACAACAAAAGGAGTCTTAGCTATGAAACAAGTACCTTGTATCAAATTTTCTGACCGAGCAGCTTCAGCACCACTAAGAGAAAATACTCTCCCTACAGTCTTTAGACGCTCAATTTACGAACCTGATCCAATAACATGTGTCCTTCGTGGTTCAGGATATTGGGTGCTGATGTGACCATTGTAATTGAAGCAGGTAACTTCCCTGTCACGACACTCAGACTGATTATGATCAGCAAGTCCACACTTCCCGCATCTTACTGAAGGAGTGGAAACAGACCCTCCAACACTTCCAGTAGCACTAATAGTGGATCCTCTAGTAAATGACTTACTTTTATTAGCAGCAGCTTTACTCCCTTGAAATCTAGTATGAGCGGAGTAAGGCTTACTCTTACCCGAAGTACTAGAATTCACAACACGGATAGGACCTCCAACTCCTTTATAGAAAGCAGCACGATCACGGTTGTCACGATCATAAATGTTGCACTTATTGACTAGAGTGGGAAAATGATATATCTCCTGATAGTTAATTGCAGTTTTCACTTTAGGACGCAGACCATTTACAAATTTTATGCATTTAGCCCTTTCACCACCCTCACCATGGTAGTGTGTACAATAACGAACCAAAGCATCAAATTTGGCATCATACTCTGTCACTATGTCTTTCCCTTGATTCAGTTCAAGGAATTCCATTTCTTTCCGACTCCTCACATCATCCGGGAAATACTTTTCAAGAAAAGCCTTCTTGAAGTTGTCCCAATTCAAGTGCACCCCTCCATCAATCATCCTCCAAAGTGCTCCTTCCCACCAAAAGTGAGCATCAGCAATCAACATGAAGGTGGCCAACTTCACCTTTTGAGCGAGGGGACAATCCATAACATTGAAGATCTTCTCGATCTCCGTTAGCCAATTCATAGCAGCATATCGGTCATATCCTCCTTTAAATGTAGGTGGGTAATTTCGTTGAAATTGCTCCAACCAGTTAGGAGCGACTCCAGTCCTATTGTTATTATTCATAGATTGTGCTAATGCTTGAAGAGCATTAGCAATCGCACGATCATTTTTACCAGCCATAGTCTAAGAAAATAATACAATTAATAGACATAATCAAATATCACACTAGCAAACCAATAATCAATTCATTCCATCATTCATCTACCAAATAAACATAGTAAACCAAATAAGCATAGTAAACTCATAACTCATGGTCGATTGGATCGACCTGCTCTGATACCACTAAATGTGACACCCTCTACCCCATCATTAATATACAATAAATGTAAACAATAATATTTTTTTTCTTTTTGAGAGAATAAAATCTTTCATAGTTGACAATTTCTTTCATGGAAAAAATAATTGTCGCAAATATCATAAGGTAGAAGATTCACATTCGTAACTCATAAGTCATGTAAATATCCAAATTCAAGAAATCATATAAAAGAAAATATAGATTAATTCCAGCAAAGGTGGCAGTGCCTCCTAGTTAAGAATTAATTTATAACTTTCAAATCATGTAATAAAAATAATATGACAAAGATGAACATTTTAGTCTTTTATCAAGAACGTTCAAAATTACAAAAGAAAAGAAAAGACTTTTAAAAACAATAATATCCCAAACTAAGTCTAGCTATGCCCGATGTCACATCCTATCAGAGCATGCCCAACTGAACCCTTAAGCATCATCACCAACATCCTCATGATGATGATCACCTGCAACATAATTTAAACACATACAAAAGCAACAAGGGAGTGAGAAACATCTCACTCAGTTTCAGGTGAAGAAATAAAGGTTAGATAGCACACACACACACACAACAAATATAAGTCACATGGAAACAACATACGTAATCAATATTACATGTACACTCATTTATCATGCAATGATATCATGGAATCGACTCATAAATGCATGCATGTGGTGCCATAAGGAAATTTCACAATTCATCACTGGTGACCCTAAGGTACACCTTGTTAGCATCACTGGTATGCGGCCTCAGCGGCACACTTGGAGTAATATATGCATATGATGCATGTCATACAGTCATTATTTCATTGACTCAACATTTGACTTATAACAGAATTTTATTTAGTACATCATGTCATCATTTTTCATATTCTTATAATCACAGCTTGTCTTAATAGTCCATTCTTAGGTCTCATGTCATTTGTCCATATTTCACATGGTCATGTCATACATACTCCTCATAAGGTCTGCACAGGAATTCACAGAGATCCACAGAAAGCATTCTTATTCATATTAAAACTCATTTATTTTTAACATTAATTCCATATTCATTTATTACTTCCAACAGAAAATAGAATAGAACAACAGGTAAGGGATTGGGAGCCAATCCGATAATCAAACTATCCAACCATTATCCTCACACTCCCGAGCGAGGTTTCTCACTCCCTCCCTTACCTGGATAAGCAGGAGCTGGAACTTGGGCAAGACCTCCTCCTCTGGATTCTCTCTTTCTTTCCCTCTCTTTCTTTCTCTTTCTCTCTCTCTCTCTTTCTCTCTCTCTCTCTCTCTCTCTCTTAAATTTTTCACTTTTCACTCAGTTATAATTTTTCACCCCCCTCCCTCCTATTTATAGGCATCTTGGTGTACCTGGAACGGCCCGTATTGAATTCGGAACGGCCCGTTCCAGATCCTTTGAAGGTATGCAAAATTTTCAACTGGAACCGCGCCCGTTCTAAAATCAGAACGACCCATTTTCAAAAAGTAGAACGACCTGTTCTAAAATTAGAACGACCCGTTCTGGAGTCCATGTGAACACACATTGACTATTATTGGAACGCCCAGTTTCTACCTAAACTTTTTAGGTCATTTTCGAATCTTGGAACGGCCTGTTTCACTCTGGGAACGGCCCGTTCCAAAAAAACCCAAATAGGCCGTTTTATTACTTTGGAACGGCCCGTTCTGCTGCTTCAAAAAATAGTATATTTTTTTTTGTTTGGAACGTCCCGTTCCACTTTTGGAACAGCCCGTTTTGGCATAAAGACAGAATTTTATAAAAATTTTCATATATAATTTAAATTATTAAAAACCTTGACAATGTTTTATAAAAACCCCTTTTAATTAACGAAATAAATATATTAAAATAAATAATAATCAACATTTGTATTAGTAGAAAATTCGGGGTGTTACAAGAACACTTTAAATTCATTAGAAATCATCTTAATTTGAAATGCATCTCAGACTAAGCCTTACTATACTTCATCTTAGATGATTCATCTGTCATGCATCATCTTAAGCTGACGTGTACATGCATGGTCTGCCTTTTCATTAATTTGTCATATATACTATTTATTATCATATTTACTTTAACATATCATCTTCCATATAAAAAGGAATCTCTCACATTTAATGCTTTTTAATGATTATGAAAAGGAGGTTTTGGATAAAGAAGGCATGGAATAGTGGGACGATCAAAGATGTTTAATCAAAATTAAATGACATGTCATCTCTCTGATCACATTTTTGCAACTTACCAACCATGTAAAACATAAATTGCTTTCCCTCATTTATTCAAAACACTTAACCATTCTCGTATCTCTCTCTTGCAACCTACTTTCTCAAGAAACCTGAAAATTCCCTTTTGAAACATTTCTTCTATATCCTCAAAAATGGAACCCAAAACAACATACTGCAAAAGCAAGTTCTCATGGAAGATTTCCTTGAGTCTTTCTTTCTCCTTGGGAGGTATGTTTATCTCAAACAACTTGCCAAAGATGACTTTCTTTTCAAGCACTATCTAAATAAAAAAGGATGGTCCAACTTTGCTGAGTTGAGGTGAAACTAGTTTCATGCACCATATGAAGATACTGAAAAGATATGTTAAGAACAAATATCGTCCATAAGCATCCATTATAAAAAGGTACATTATAAAGGGCGTAATCTAGTTTTATGTTGAATACATGTCTTAAGTTAAATCTATAGGCATTCCTAAGACTCGTGATGAGTGACAAAGTGTGTTGGCAAGGGTACAATAGGTGCAAAATTGAATAACATGTTACGAGAAGAAGTGTTTGAAGAGAATTTGTAGATGTTGAACAACTCGAGCGAGATTCTTCCTTATTTAAATGCCCACAAAGACTTAGTGAAGAGAAACAACCCTCAAACGCCTAAAAAATAGGTGTTGAATGAGCATAACCAGACTTTCACGGAGTGGTTCAAAAAGAATATTGAAACAAATTTAAATGTTTGTGAAACTTTAAAACACCTAGCTCGAGGACCTAACTTTGATATGTTTACTTTATGTGGATATGACATTAACAATTACTCCTTTTATACAAAAATAAAAGATGACAAGAGTACCATGCAAAAATAGTATGATTGTGATAGTTGCTTAATTTATGCATTTCTCAACCAAAAATGATAAGAACCTCGTAACAACGTCCATGTATTACGATCCATTCCAAATTCTTGTATATTAAATGCAAGTGAGTTGATAGTAATAATGGTATCAAAATTAATGAACTCGGATTTACCTTGATAGACCTTAATAAAGTTCGTCATAAGAAAAAGCAAATAATCGATTTTAAAAGTCTACTTTTAAAATTTGTTAACAAATAATTTTAAAAGTCAAGACTTACAAAATTAATTCTTTTAAAATTAGTCAAACAATTGATTTTAAAAATAAAAAAAAATTACTAATTTTAAAATCCTTTTTTTTCACCAATGATTATACTTTTAGCTAAATTAGAATTTTAGTCTCTTATTTTAATTTTGTTAATTTAGTTTGATATTATAAGTTTAAATTTTTTTCTTTTAGTCCTCCAAGTTTAAAAAGTTTCATTTAATCCCTTAAAATATTTTTGTTAAATCAAATTGACCTCTTAAAATGCCTTTATTAAACTATCAATTTAATTCTTAAAATGTCCTTAAAATCTTACAAATCTTTCTTATATAGTTTTAAAAAACTTCAATCTCATACATCTCTTATATTATTTATTTTTTTATATAAATCTCTTATATTATTTAAAAGTCTTCATATATAATGACTTTTATATAAAAATTTATTTTAAACTCTTTAAAATTTTAATTTAATACACTCCTCAAATAAAATATTTGTATTAGAAAAAATTGGTGAAATATTTATAAATTAATTATACTAGCATGATATAAAACTAATTATATAATTAATTTTATATCATGCTAGTATAATTAATTTATATAGTTTATCTCGTATTTACGTATTTAAAATATTTAAAAATTAATGATAATTATTATTATTTTTTTACAACAATTATCATTAGTTTTTAACCATGTGAATACGTGATAAAATAAATTAAAAACATTTAATTGTACTCACTAACTGTTGCTATAAAATAGACCAAGTAAAAGAGCAAATGAGAATCACATAGCGAAGTTGAGTTGCTTGAAGAATTTGAAATATTTCTCAGGTAATAATATTTTACAATTTTTTCAATGACTAAGGCTATTACCCCCTCAATTAATTAGTACTTACAGTTTGGTAAAAAAAAAAAAAAAAAGAAGAAGAAGATGAAGAAGAAGAAGAAGAAGAAACACTTGCACTTTTAGATTTTTAATACTTCCATTCATACTAGCATTTTTTTAGATTTTTAATTTAAATAGTTAACCATTCCACATATAGGATTAGGAATAGTAGAAGTATATGAATAAAAGAGACGAATGACAACTCATTGCTTTATATATAATTACCAAACAAATTAACTTGGTTTACCTTTTCATTTCATATTTGTGATTTGATTATAATATAAAAAATAAAAAAAATCTAGTGAGCACTTTGCTTATTTGAATTAGCATTATAACAATTATTTATATATTTATTTTTCCTTTATTATCATTTATTTCAATATCCATTGTTTTTTGATTTCCCTTTATCTCACTTTACAACATTCACATTAAGTTACATAGCATGTGTCATTTAATTTTTGAATTTGGATTGTGAAGAAGAATTTGGACAAAGATGGCAGAAGAAAATGAAAACTCAAGTTCTACTGAGCAACATGGTAAAAGTTGGGTAGCAAAAATACTTAAACTTTTAGGATGTGTGACACTGAAAGACTCTGACCCTCCCAAACAT